AAGAAAAGCTACACTAGGTATGCTGTGCTCCTACTATATATCGCTATATTAAATAACTCCATTCTGCTTCTGAATAAAAATAGAATAAAATGATTGAATGATTTCTTATTTACAGTGGTGTAATCAAGGACAAACTTTGATCCAAAGGAAAACATTGCTAAGCAGATGTGCTGGTGCCAGAATTGGAAATTGATATTCTGACTCAACTGAAAGCCTAAACCCTTTCCAATAAAGACCTTTTCCCCTGGTAAACAGTTTTTATGGCAGTATTTAAGGACAAAAATACTGGTCTAAGCTTTTTCACATTGTTAACATTTTCAAGTCTTAAAGGAAAAAGCATTTCTATGCAATGGCAGACTGATTTCCACTGTATGTATTTTAAGATGGGGGTTTTTTTTATGACTGTCAGGGAAATTCTTAATATTTGGAAATTAAAGTTTGTCTGTTTACCTTAATTCAGGCAAACTATGAGAGAATTCTCTTCCCTTATGGCTTTTGTTCTTTTTCCATCTGTGTCCTTTTTCATTTCACCAACACGTTTGTCACTCTGCTTCTGTCGTCTTCTGTCTTTCAACATGACACTAGCTGTCTAAACACTCGGCTTCAAGAAGAAGGAAATCAAGAAATTTCACTCCTCATTCCTCTCCTGAAAAAAAGACCCTGAAACTAAACTGTTGGGAGACAATATCCACTTTTGCTCCCATTATCACCTCTGCAGTGTGTTTTCAGGGAACTCATGAATCTGCACGTAGCTGAGAAGGGTGACACAGAAACAGAACATACTCGGGGTGGTGGTGATGGTTTGGGGTTGGGTTTGGTTTTTTTTTCCTTTTCTTTTCTTTAAATAAGCTAGAGGACCAGTTCCAATTACCCTTGTGGATCTTGTAAGATTGCTCATTCATTTACATAATATGCTATCTTCATTGCAGGCACATATACGGAGCTCACAGACAAATGTGAAAAAAAAATATGAGTCATGGGGTTCTTCCTCCCAGAAGCTTAACTCAATCTCTTTTTAAAAGGTTTTAACTGGGTTTCATTCCCAGTGTGTCCCTTTACATCTAAAAGTGATTAAATAAGATTTACAGACAAATTAAATTATTTCCTATTTGTGAAATGCAATACTGTTACAATTAAGTGATTCCACAGACTTCACTTTTTGATCTTTAATTCTTTAAGAAAATTAATATCAGAATTAAAAGATTAAAGTGCTCAGTTTCAGCAAAGAACATATTCCCCATATATAAACTATTAGCTTTCACAAGCAAATTCATCATTTTGGAGTTGGGGAACAGAGCTTACTATGGTAGATTATATAGGAATTACATAAAAAAAGAAGGGGACACAAGGATGAAATAAGGGAAAATTCAATTCAGCTCTCAAAACTTTTTCTGGAATGTGCTCCTCTTTCCTCAAAGAGAGAAATAAATGATTTCAAAATAAGCCTGCCCACAGTGACGCTACACAGCCCTCAGTACGTGTGTGGGTGTGCGTTCTGCGAAGGCAGCTGAGAAGTGAGCATCCTTCCTCGCGGAGATAGCACACTGTAATACTAATAGTCTTTGCGCCGAGCCGTGGGAGGAAAGCCATGCAAATCCTCTTTTGTTTTTGTAGGAAAGCAGCATTTTCCAGATATCACTGATACCTAACAAGAAAATCAAACCAGCTGCATAGTGCCCACATAGGTGTGACAGTCACATATACTGACACGCACACACACTCACGCATACCACATACAGACAGTTTGCACACACACTGCAGTTTGCACAGCCCCACAGCCTATCGTTCATGTTCTAGACACTCATGTAAAAATACCACTGACATTCATATACTACATGTCTTCTAGCAAGGAACAGAAACCGGTATTAATGCACCTATTTAAAAAATGCACTGTGTTAGACCCTCACCATTATGTTACAGAACAATGAAAGGTTAATGCCTTCATCTGCACTTTATGCACAGAGGTCCAAAAATAAAATGCCTTGTACTGCATCCTCATTACATAAGTGCTATATATATAGCATACGAGTTCCTCTTCTGTTTCAGAGCAGTCAGGACTGGTATAAGCATTTTCAGGAAAGAAGAGGTTCAGTGTAACTTTGTTTTATCCTGAGTAAGAACACTGCCTAGTAATGACTGTGTTGTAGAAATGTCAAGGCTGAAATTAGCCGTGGGTGGAGATCTCTTTAAGGGGAATTAAGTAAGTGGATAATGGAAGTGAAATACTCTTAGTGTGGCAAAAAAAAATAAATTCAAAAAATCCTTGAACTCTGAAAGGAGACAGAGTTTCCTTATAAACGTTATAAAGGAGTTAAAGTAAATTTAAGAGGACTAAAAAAAACTTAAAGAAAATTAAAATAATTTATGAAGCATCATTTAGTACAGCTCTTGATGTGGCTACCTGTGGGTTGAAAGAGGAAGACAGAAGGAGAGAGAAACAGCAACACTGGGGAAGGGGGAACATTCTCACCTTCAGCTTTCCAGCCTTGAAATTTGGTTCCATCAGAGATTAAGATGCAGGTTTGACTGTGGATGATTTTACAGTCAGTCATGACCCATGTAATGCAATGGCAAATACACTCTGAGTTTTGAAGTGGCAGCTGAGAACTAGGTTTTGTTTTTCAACAAAAGAGCAGGAGTGTACGTTCCTTTAGAGAAATAGCTTATAAACATGCACCCCTAGGAATATCACATAGAACACATGCCAAGTTCAGGGATCGTAAGGGATAAATGTGCCAAATTTGCATAGTTTCAGTAATCAAGGTAGTTAAGTGGCAGACCTCTGACATAATCTATAAGAAATTTCTACCTATATTTCTGGTGTTAGAATAAACTCATTTTTGAGCAAACTCTCCCATGCAGCCTAAGAATGCATACAAATGCTCAGGGAAGAACTGTTTCTGTGTCCCCCCCACAGCACTAGGGGAAAAAGTGAAATAATCTCCTCCAAGAGCCAGCCCCTTTGACTATTCCCTGACCTGACGTCTATGTCCTGGCACTGCTCATTGCTTCTACAATCTTCTGCTATCAAGTTTTCCCAGATAAACTTTTGATTTGTCTCTCATGACCTTTCTTTAAATTTTCTCCCTCCCCTTTCATCCAAACGCTTTTCTCAATTGTTTCACTTTCCCTCTCTTCATTACTGTTTCACGTTTTATCTTCTTGCTCTTACTCCACTTTTACCATCTTTTAAACCTCACGTTTACCAATTCTCTAGACTTTTATTCATCTGATCTTCTGAGCAGTTTCCTGTTAGTTTTGGGTGTTTCTTTCCTCATCCTCTTTACAGTGAATACTCCTTGGATAGGAGCCATGTCTTTACTAAGGATTATAAATATTGTGCATATGCACAGATGTAAATTATTTTTATAGTAGCCTTTGTGATCAGAAACCATCTTTTCTTGTCTGCATACATCTTCATTTTCCCTAGAATACCACACAAGTCTTGTTCATATAAGGATTAACTGCCTTCAATTTCCTTTCCTCCTCCTCTTCCTCATACTCCCTGCTTTTTCCTTCTTCTTTTTCTTAAGTTATTTTATTTAATTAAGCCATTTTCTTGCCTAGAGCTTGGCAAAAATATCTTCTGAAAGCAGGTCCATATTATGTTTGTGCTCCTGTATCATTAAAAGTAACTTAACAAATTAAACCCATGTTTTGGTAAAAGAACTCACTTGCAGGCTTGAAAATTCACATATCTGTTTTGGCACAAGCAATTCAATGCAAGCAAGACATGAAAATCTGTTGGAGAAGTGCCGATAAAAAAAATGAAGCTTCAAGTATCACTGTAATCAGCACATCATGCCTGCACTTGAAAATGACCTGCTACAGCTCATCCTACTGAACCTGAGTGAGAGGATGGTTCTGGCTCCTCCCATTCCTCCCCTTTTGAACTAGATACGACAGAAAGGTGGGTTTGAAACTTTCTGATAGGGTGCTGCTTCATTTTACAAAGTGCCTTGTCACTCCTTCAATTATCTTGCTTTGACAGATGTAGACAAATTGCTGAAAAGCACATTATCCTCAACCTAATGCTAGAAAACATTAGCATTTACCCTGCATTTCATGGCCAGATTTTGATGCCTTTGCATATACCAAATTCATATATTACCCTAAAATTGAGTATTTCGATTTGATGAGTTTACTCCCCTTTTGTGTCAGTGACAGCTAAAGATCACCTGCACCAGAGATGTAGGTATCAGCAGGGACTGAGGACCTGAGTACACAAGTATGTATCTCTGGAAGTACATACTTGTACCTTTACAAATACAGAACAAGGGACAAACTCTGAAAAAAATTTCTAATATATTAATTCATGAAAAATATATACCCACTAATCCAAAAAAATGAGAAGAAGATTATTTCCTACTCCTTTCTTTTTCTCCCCTTCCACACAGTTAATTTCCCTTTTCACCATCTTTTTCCACTGCTTTCTGTGTTTTCCCCTTCCACCTTCCGTGCAAATCCTGTGGCTAATTGGTTAAGTCCACTCTAGAGTCTAACCATCAATTCCCAGACTCTGCATCTTTCATTTCTATGGTTTTGGCTGATTACAGTTGCACTTAGAGGAAAACAAATAAGTATGTATCAACATACTGCGAGTGCTACATCTGTGTATGAAAATACACAAACAGATAATTAAACATCAACAAAATATCAATAGGATTAGAGTGTCATGTTGGAACAAATCTTGATAAATCCTTCTCAATAACAATACTCTAACTACAGCGTCATAAGGGGAATATAAATTTAGCCCATTAAAGTGTTGTTGGACAAAGAAAGACACATTAATACATCTGTTAGTCATTTTCTTACTACTAAGGGACTCCACTATTGTGCTGCAGATGAAAGCTTTGGCCAAGAAGAGATTTGAAAACATGCAAATTAATGCTAACAACATAATAAATATCTTATTATTCATCAGCAACTCAATGGCATACTGGCATAATTCAAACTGTGAGCAATCAAAAGTTCGTCGATGTTTAGACATACGTACGTACCTACAATAGACATTTCTGGAACCGTGGCGTGATATGGGCCATCAACAAACTCTGGGGGATTGTCATTGATGTCTTGAACCTTAATAATGAATTCTGAGGGAGGCTCCAGAGGTTTGTTCGTGTCCCTGTCGACCGCTTGAGCTGTTAGAGTGTACTCAGCTTTTTCCTCCCGGTCAAGCCTTTTCATTGCATGAATGTCTCCAGTCTTGTCATTGATCACAAAGATTGTTCCAGCTCCATCTCCTGACAGAATGTACTTGATTTTGCTGCTGCCAGGATCCAGGTCTGTGTGTAACTAAAAGGAAAAAAAAAAAAGCATTTTAGAGACAAAAATTACCCCCAGAACTTTTCTTGCATTGGTCTAACCATACATTTTGTCAAGCTACTCTTTTGTACTTTAATCTTAGCACCAGTGATCCATATCTCAGCTTGAATACACAAGGAGAGTAGGGATTTGTATGCATACTAATCAAAAGTGAATGTAATCATAGGCATAATTAGACTTTCTATTTAAAAAGCAGTTGTTATATATATTTTAAATCCCTGTTCTAAAATGTAAATGTCTTCAGAACTATTATCAGCCAAAATGAACCAGTACAAGATGTCCTTAACTTAATAGATCAAAGGGCCAACAAAGGATTAAAAATAATATACATTTTAATCTAGTTTCTTATTTTTAGTTATTACTTTCAGCTTATTTTCAGGTGACTGAAAATGGCTGAACACTTGCATCTATCTAAATATGGATAGCAGTCACAGAAAATTAGAACTGTATCATAACTCAGCTGTTAGCAGAACCTAAAAGGCTCTGAGATCTTTATTCTTAAACTATTTTCCCTGGAAAAAAAAAAAAAAAAGCTTTGTTAAAGCAAGTTTCCAGGAATATAAGAAGAACCCTTACACACATCTTCCCATTCTCCTTAATGCCCCATTAGAAAAAAATAATATTTAGACTGTACTTTTCAAAAAACAAGATAGGTTTATAATAACCTGAAACAGTATGGGAAAATAGGTTTTCTTCTTTACTTTGAATTTTTTTTGCTAATTAAAAGCCTGAACCGAAGAACACTGGAGACAAAGGACTTCCATTGATTTTTTTTTTTTTTTGTAGGCTCAGAGCCAAGTAGTAAATATCAGATTATCTCCAATAATTTTTAACTTGCGAGGGCGAGCGCACCAATTGGTGGACCATATGTATTAGTGTCAACACATTCAAAAATACAGGATAACAAATATACAGTAATACTGCTTTAAATTCTATTTACCATTAAATCTAACACACTCAACGTGAACAATAAGAAGTAGACAATAACACATAAATAAAAATAAATGTACATTACATTTTTAATGATCTCTGCCTCACAAGAAGTCTGAAGGAAATACCTAGAACCTCTTGAGGACAGCTACAATGTGACTTGCAACAACTACTACTACTGGAACTGCTCCTGTTTGCCCATTTTTGCACAGACAGCTCAACAGAAATTGTTGCTGGTTCCGCATTTTCCTCTGCAGTTGATAGCAGTGGTTGCCAGGGCTGGGCAACGTTGTCATTTGATACAAGAACCCGTATTAGGATATTAAAATTGGTGTGGACAAAAAGCCCTGTAACACTGGCTACAACCAGGCCATGAGGAGATTTTCCTGTCGTACCACGAGTAGGCTCTGCAGGTTCTCCAGCAGGTAATTGGTCACACACACTTATATCTGCAAATCAGCTGTTCAGGAGTAAAAGCTTAGAAAATTCATTAACAGCACCTTACAAAAAGGAATCTGGAATTATTGCAAGGAGCACAGCAGACAAGGGCAGCCAGGTCTGACTTTCCAGTTGATCTGGTTTATTGTATGTGCCAAATCCTGGGTCACCAGTGTATTCCCTGCTCAGCAATAGTAGTCAGTGGGAGTTCTGCTGTAAGAGGTGTAACTTCATCCTGTGGTTTGCCAGGCAACACGTTATTACCACACCAGCTATTACCCCACCACTGTTTTAACAACTTTTAAAAAGCACTTTAACTATCTGTGAATATGAATGACTCAATGCAGTTCACTCTTCCCACCCACCCACACAAACATACACACAGACATCGAGCAACAGCTGAGTCCTTTTTACAAAAAATCAGTGTGATTTGGGGTTTTTTGAAGTTGCCTTCAGCTCTTACTTGAGAAAAACCAGCTTAATTCACAAAATGTTAATTTAAATTAATAGCACTCTCCTGTTGGTTGGTACTGCAGTTTCATCTGCTCAGTAAGACATGTACAACTCCTTTTTGTCTTAAAGATCGGTGTCCTTATGAGCAGGATTATACTCAAGCTAGGTACCAGCAGCAAAAAAACTTATTTTCGGGTCCCAGAGCCTGGTCTGCTCAGTAAGACATGTGCAACTCCTTTTTCTCTTAAAGATTGTTGTCTTTATGAGCAGGATTATACTCAATCTAGGCACCAGCAACAAAACAAATTATTCTCAGGGTCCCAGAGCCTTGAAGATCAATCCAGAATCTGTTTGTGTTTTAAACAGATTATTTATACTTTAAGCATCTGTTTGATCCCTGAATAAAAATCTATACATTATTAACATTGCATACAAAGGCTTTAGCAGAATATTCATAGATGTGATGTCATATCTAAACTTTGACTGGACACACAAAACTCGCCAAAGCAGCTGTGAACATCTCAGTTCAGCCAAGTACACAGAGCACTACAGTGAAAAACTCTAATCTGAATTTCTAAAAAGGCACTGGCTGGATAAACTAGATACCCTGACGTGGTATTTGAGAATGTTCAAAGATTCTGCGATTTGATAAAAAGTAAGAGAGGCTCTTGGTATAATCTCTGCTGTAAGTTTTACCCATATTACCCAACAGAAGTTATGGTTCATAAATCAGTTCTGATACAACGCAGAGCTGTAAATCCTTTGCAGTGCTACTAAGATGCCAACAGTTAAAATGAAAAAAAAAAAAAAAGCGTCCATGATTACTATTAATTGTTTCTTCTAATATGTCGAAGTCCTTTGTACTAAAAAAGCAAATAGATATTGCTATTTGAAACACTATAAAACGAAGACATAAAAAATTAAACAAGAAGTGGAAGAGCTAGAAGCATTTTATAATCTTAAAAAATGAAACTGAACTTCTGCTAATCACACTCAGTTTTTACCCAAAGATTAAGTGGCAAAAATGACCGTAAATTTTTTTTAGTTCTTAATCAAAAACAAGCCATAAACATGGTGTTTATTGAAATCGTACTTTTTATGGTGAGCATCCAGGCAGAATAAAATATCTTTTCTAGGTTTTGAAGTTTTTAAGCTCTAGTATAAAAATATTATAGTAAATGACCTATGGAAAAGCCCTTTTTCCAATATCATTTCATTATTTGGATTGAGGATTAAAAAAACATCATCTACTTACAAAGTTAAATCACAGATTCTAAGACAGAAAGCACAGCATTTTTTTCCAAGTAATATTTCCTCTCTTCTACTAGATGTGAATGATAATTTACAGCAATTGTAAAGCTTCAGCAAGCTGTGTTCATGGGAAGGTTAAAGATCGTTAAACACATAATTATATAGGGTCTAGGTGAATGATAGAGAGGAATAATGAATATGGTAAATGAGTATCGGTTTCTGCTGAAAAGCCTCACAAATGCTGTAAATGTGAAACTGCTTTCCACACCTGGAGCTTTATTTGTTGTGCCCGTGCTTGAAAGCTGACCTCTTATTTTCCCAAGCAGCGTTGAGAAATGTAACAAGAATTTCTACTTAAAAAAGGAGACATCTATAGCTAGTCCCTATGTCCCACTACTAGAGAGCATCCCAAAACAGACAGAAAAGCATGTTTTCTGGAAAACTGAATCAAGTTCAGAGTCAAACTCACCTCCTTTATGTGAGATTCAGTTAAATAGACTGAACTTTAAGTGAAATTTAAGTGCAATCATCTTACCCATCGCTGTGGGACTACAAACCCAAACATCTCTCTTCCCTGAAGTAGCAGATACAGCCCCATCACCCAATTCCTGCCTGGTTTTATGGCAACAGGCGAGGGGTGGGATCCCCCCTAGTTTCAGTGGTGAAGCAGATGCCCTGTATCAATACCCTACTAATGGGTCCTGTGTAGCCTCAGCACAGGTCTCTGTTCCTAAAAAATGTACTTCATTCAAAATGAACCCTCTAAACACCACAGTTTCTAATAATTATTAATTCCTTTCCTATTCTATGTTATAATACAGATGATAGTCAATGAAGCCAGTATTAATTAACAGCACACGCAGTGTTACTTCCACAAAACTAACATTATCTTCACTAATAATGAATGCATATCTAAAAGTATTGCCAACACACTATTCAAATATATAGCATATATTTATAGTCTCCCACGTACACGCATTACAAACATCCATAATTACAATCAATGCAAGAGAAATTGCAGAGATGAAACTTATTCAAAGAGCCTCTACGTTCTGTAGATGTACAAGTACTACTCTGCAGTAAAAAAACAAATACATGAGCGTGTTACTGATATTAAATTCTCCTATTGCATAGATATTTGTTTAGCATATTTTAACCGCATTTTCTTAACAAATAGTTGGCTCAAAACCAAATTTTGGGGACTTGAAGTCCTCTCCAGGTGTGGTGTTGATGCACAACTTGATACAGACTGGCCCATAATGAGATGCATCAAAGGCAGGATTTGTAACCCCAATTTCCTCATATTAGTAAAAAAGCATAAACGTATCAATAATTCAAAATGGAGGGGGGTGGAGGGGAGAATCTACATATTATGAAAATGCTCCTGGACATTTTAATTAAGAAAAGAGAAGAAGGCATTATGTAGTCAAGTTTTTATTTGAGTTTGTTAGAAAGTAATTAATTCATCCTCATGTAATTGCAAGGGAATTACCCCTTACTTATTCCAAGGGAAAAGGCACAACCTGCCCTTAAAACTTCATTTAAAAATTTGCATCATTCTTCTCCTTCCTAATACTGGATTCTATTTTAAGGGATTAACTAGTGCGTCACTGATTTTCACCTGATGTTACACAGATAAATACACAACACACCAACGCTACCCTAATGCTTAAGGTTCTTCTATGTTTTAATTATGCCTTGCAATAAAATTCCTCATTTATGAGGCAGACTCCATGGAATGAACTCAGAAACAGAATTTCCAGCTTTTATCACTCTTCTCCAAAAGAAGCTCTAGACCATTCTGTGAAAGAATGGAAGGATTTTAGTGACTTTTACAATCATTTATATGTGCTTTCAAAAACTGTAATGCACCTTACTTATAATCTGTTTCTATCTGT